CTACTTACATGTACAAGTTAGCGCGATATCTTAGTTGTTTAGGCTCACGTTTACAATTGATGTTATACCTCTCTTAACAACAGTACTACAATGTTAACGTATAATTAATCTACTTACATGTACAAGTTAGCGCGATATCTTAGTTGTTTAGGCTCACGTTTACAATTGATGTTATACCTCTCTTAACAACAGTACTACAATGTTAACGTATAATTAATCTACTTACATGTACAAGTTAGCGCGATAACTCAGTTGTTTAGGTTCACGTTTACAATTGATGTTATACCTCTCTTAACAACAGTACTACAATGTTAACGTATAATTAATCTACTTACATGTACAAGTTAGCGCGATAACTCTCTTTAATCTCAACTAACTACCTTTGTTTCTCAGTTCTCAACTAACTAACTTGACGCTTCACGGAACATTTTTGTTAAATAATCTATCCTTGTTATAGATATTTCAAGTTCAAAATTAACTTAACATCACATTTCATCAGCAAAAACCCGAGCTTCTCCTAGCTAACAAATACATTACAAAGTTATATATATATATATATATATTATAAAACACTGTGCTAACGGTTCCAGTGGCATTCTTCACTTATGTTCATACTATTTTACTTCGTTCAACATCAGTTATGTTATTGACAACCAACATCTACCGATCTTGTGCAAATTCATTTTCAAACATACCTGTGTCGCTGTTACGATCGTGCTAAACTCGCTCATACGTATATCAACTCCCAATGATTTAGAAATAGGTCTTTAATTTGACGAAACTTAGTTGAATGGACGGCAACTGCCCGTTGTAGAAACACAAATGTAGAGGACGACGTTTCGAAAGTTGAAGTCGAAAGGCTGAAGACTTTCGAAACGTCGTCCCCTACACTTTGTGTTTCTACAACAGTTGCCGTCCATTCAACAAAGTTTCATCATGAATACTCTGCTTAAACAATCTATCAAATGTCTTTAGTTTCTTACTGGCACCATACTATTTTCTTCTTGCATCTTTCTCCGTTTGTTGGTTTGCATCTCACATCTGACCACAAACTGCACACTTCAGTTCATATGAAGAAAAAAAAACGTCTTATGAAAATTATTTTGCAAATTACACATATACAAAGACATTAAAACTAATTATTTTACATACATAACAAGCTCACACACATAAAAACTACACATTTAGAACCTCTCTCGGTTTACTGGTTTGTATCTCACATCTGACCTGATTTTCTCTTTTTTCTCCTTTCCTCTCCTTGAACTCTATTTAGTATGTCAATTTCTCAAGCACACTCCAACCGATCCCTTTGTTTCAGACGTTGCGCCTTAACTTCCACAGCATATCTGATTATAACGTTTCATAACCATAGGGTGTCTTGTAGTCTCCATATCGACTGAACTAAGAAAGGTGGCTTGTGGACTCGCTCATTCCAATCATTTTCTAATAACTTAGAATCCCTCTATATTCTTTAGAGACTGATCAGAAGGTTTGTTTGTTTGTTTTGAATTTCGCGCAAAGCTACACGAGGGCTATCTACGCTAGCCGTCCCTAATTTAGCAATGTAAGACTAGAGGGAAGGCAGTTAGTCATCACCACCCACTGCCAACTCTTGGGCTACTCTTTTACCAACGAATAGTGGGATTGACCGTCACATTATAACGTCCCCACGGCTGAAAGGGCGAGTATGTTTGGTGTGACAGGGATTCGAACCCGCGACCCTCAGATTGCGAGTCGAATGCCTTAACCACCTGGCCATGCCGGGCCTGATCAGAGGGAGGTTACTTTCTTACAATTTTTCCACTTCAAGCGATGTTTCCTTACATTACAGTCACAAACCAAGGTTTAACTATAACAAAGCAAATCGGAATCAGAAGAGATTAATTTTGGATAAACATCTACCACCTAATGTTATTATAAAAGCCGTGCTTGCTTGTTTCAAATATTTGTGTATATCTACACTAGGGTTACCTGCACGCACTCCATCCTAACGTTTGAACGGGTAGACTAGAGAGAAGTTAGCTAGTCAACAGCACCTAGCGCCAACTTTAAGGCTACTTTAATCAAATTATGAGATTTAATTACCACTCTTGTCGTACTCACAGCCTAAAGTGTGGAGTGCAATTTTCCTGTAACATCTGAGTCTCGAATGATGGACCCTCATATTCAAAGTTCCGCACGTTAACCAGCAACTAAGAGGCAACGCTCACTCCCTGAAAACCCTATACACATTGACAAATACTTTAATCAAATCACTGAGTGCCTCTTAAACCAGGAGGCACATGCATCCCAAAACATACAACAATCTAACTTAGACATCATCAATATTATGAAAGAACACAAAAATTACAAACAAATAAACTACCTTAGAAATATCATATGTAATGAGATTAAAGTTTCAAAAAAAAAGGGGGGAATATTTCCGTTCCCAACTCAACATCAGAATGTCTCCAAAATACTTCTGGAAACATCCTAAACGACACACACACACACAATGTTTTTAACTATGCACATTCTCAAACATTCACACAAAAAGACACACACTATAAATGTAAAACTAACGTAGAAAAACAGTCATGTTTAAAACACACATTTGAAATATTTAAAACACTTAACAAAGATACATGAACACTAAATTAACATCTTCGTATAGAACAACGCTCCTCTTTTCTCACCCTACGTTTCTGTAAACAGTGATGACGAAACTTCATACTCTACGTCACAGTTGTTGTTCAAAGTTAATAATATAAATAGCAACTCGAACGCTACCATGTCTGTCGTACCCAGCCGGCTTGGTATTAAGCGAAAGGACTCGTCGGCACTGGATATGGTAGATGTAGTGTGGTTGACGTATTATACGATGTTTTATTTACTTTCAGTCATAAGTTCTTAGAATTACTAACGCAGTTTTCTTTTGTTGACGCTATGGTTTCTCGACCCACTCTAGGAACAAAAATACTTCACCAGTTATTCTGAATGATAGTAAAATTAATACAAATAAAATGATAATAATGAAAAATAAATAATCGGTGTCAGAAATACATAAATAATATTGTATTATTAATCCTTACCATAATAATCCGATTTGAAATGGCTTAAATAAAACTGATAACAATTACGATTCACATACTTAATCTGGTTCACACCATAACGGTCGTTGTTCATGAAAGTTGGTAATGTAAACAGCACCTATACCACAACTAGTACTATATCAGTTGTGCCTAACCGGCTTGATAAGCCTTGGAATCAGGCGAAAGGCTTCGTCAGCACTACATACGACAATTGTTGTGCGGTTATCAGTTGTGCCTAACCCGGCTTGATAAGCCTTGGAATCAGGCGAAAGGCCTCGTCAGCACTACATACGGCAATTGTTGTGCGGTTATCAGTTGTGCCTAACCCGGCTTGATAAGCCTTGGAATCAGGCGAAAGGCCTCGTCAGCACTACATACGGCAATTGTTGTGCGGTTATCAGTTGTGCCTAACCCGGCTTGATAAGCCTTGGAATCAGGCGAAAGGCCTCGTCAGCACTACATACGGCAATTGTTGTGCGGTTGATATATTATAACATATTCTTCTTTCACTCATAAGTTCTTAAAAACGCCACATAACGAAACAGATTACTAAAACAATTAATATCATGAAGAACAAAGTCTCCAGTAAAAATCGAGTACAAATTATTTAAGTTAAAAAGGCCATCAGAGATTTTATGCGCAGTTAACAACCTCTTTCACTCCATCTTTCAAAACACGCGACACTAAACACGTTCGAAGTAAGCCAATGTTGCCATGTCCTTCAAAAAGAGAAAGCTAGCAGATAAGCCGATAATTATAGACTTACAAGCCTCACAAGTTGTAAATGAAAACGTTTGGAAATAACTTATTACAAATAGACTCCTAACATTTTTC